CTCAGTTATATATAAGCATTATCAGCAATCAATGGAGGAAATATATGTCCCAAAACCATGTGAACACATTGTATCTTATCGAACGGCACCTGTGCCAACCATTATTCTGAGCAAAGTGCTTGAAACATAGCACTTTCCTGTGTGGTAATCTATATATTCTCATTTTCGTGATTTGAGAAGGAAATGACAATTATGCCATCCATAAACCAACCATCTCAGCCAAATCCACAACACAGCTTTTTTTTTGCTGCCATCATTCCGGAAATACTTCCGTCATGTGATGACGAGTTGAAACAAAAAGCAAATGAAGGGAGAGGATGTCTCCTCCACGAATATTCTCAGAAATATTGACGCTCTAACACTAACGTAAATCAGTTTCAGTCGCGGCACGTTTTGATATTCGCAAAAGGGATAATAACTCGCCATCATATAATCAAATAGGAGCGAGTACTATTCTTTGATATAATCCTGCATCTGAACAGATTGATAGGTGGCTGAGGTAGATTTTCGAGATCTAACTTTGAATTGGTATCGGATGGGATAATTCTCATCTCGTTATCGAATGGCGAAATCGAGTGCATATAATAGCACTGAAAAGTGCCATCTTTTAATAACTTTGTTCAGGATAGTGATCGGCACAGCTGCCGTACCATCAAAAACAATGTTTATCTACGACTGTTGCATGAAATATTCATGAAACATGTACTTTCTCAAACAAACCGGTAGCCATTTTTCACACCAGTGAATAATATCAGAGAAAAACCATTTTTCTTACCAGTGAATAATACTAGTGGGAAACCATAATTCACTGGTCTAGAGCTCTTAGGGTGCGCGATATAACATTTAAGGAACTTTAGACCAGTGAATAATGGTTATTCACCGCTTTTATTCTCTGATGTGGATAATGGATATCGTTTTGCTTGAGGAAGTATACAAATAATTAGTATAACAGGTATCTTAAATTTTTCATCGATCAAACAGTTGTTAAAAATAAATTTATATATCAAAGACAATAATAGTCGGAAACAAAGTATAGTATTCTACTCGTATATAATGAGCTATCAGTCTGTCAGGTGGATTCTGCCACTAACTACGCTCGTGACATAAACTTGACCCTCATTATATGCTTGTTGAATAATATAGTATTTCACATGCTATTGTGATATATAACATTTCTTAATCAGATGAGGGTCGAAATAGTTAGTTATTATGCTATTCCTCCCAAACTGATTTTATAGTAAACACTGACACAAGTAGAATCAGCAATTTGAAACTCAAGAAACAAGAACTGTATATTGTGAAAAAAGACCCCCGTTGAAAAACTCTAGCCTTAACAGATCATGATGCATCATACATGAAATCAATAACAGAAAACCACAATTAAACCTCAGTTTACATCTCATGAATTTCGATATTAAGAACTTCTATATCTAGAAAAATTGAATTCCTGTCACTCATAATTATTGTATATTTCAAGCTCATTTCATATGAACTCTTATTATTGATGAATATAACTGGATAGTAGTTGTAACAATTGCAGAACGCTGAATCCGAAGACAGTCATTTATAGTATGATACAAAGAAAATTCGAATTGAGTATAATGATAAAAAATATGAGGGATCACGAGCGGAGGAATTCTCGAAAACCACGAGGTATCAACTGAGGTCAAATTGTGGTTTTCTGTAATTCACCAGCTTGATTATGATCCATGGTTTACCAGACATGTGAAAGTTTAACACTATGATGAAGAATGAAGTCTTGGACCTATTTGTTGAATGTGTATTCCAAATACCGTGGTTCCTAACTACATAAACAATTATCAAGATCAATATGAGAGATCTAATGAGGTGCTGAGTCCGCAAGGTGAATGAAAATATCAGTAGAATACAAATATTCTTGAAGAATGTATTTTCTCAACCATAGCTGTAGAACCAACAAATAGTTACTCCTATTCAAGGCGTCAAGTGTGCTTTTACTACCAAGTTATAGTTCTCGTCATTGTATGAATACTGGTCAATGAAGACATAGGACATAGCCTCTGTTAGTTATAATTAACCCGAATTCTATGTTCTGTCATGGTCATGGCTTGTAGATTTCAATGAGAATTGATAATAAGTGCTTCCACAGTGACAAAATAGGTCCATATCTCAGTTTCACAGAAATATGATTATTGAAATATATTGCTAGTGATGAAAAAAATGTAATATACACCTTCGTGGTGGAGACTATCATTACCACGGGACCTTATACCCCTCGGCTGAGGCTTCGAGATATAATCTTGATCCCCCTGAATGATAATGATATTCTTTACAATCTTTGTGTATAAATGACTGATTTGAGTCGCGACGCCAATTAATATTTCAGATCATATATGAAGTAGCTCTTGAAATTCGCAGAAAGGCCCCAGAGTAATTATTATAAAACGATTTTCCACCTAAACTTTGACACATTTTTTGACGGAAATTCAACAAGTGAGTACAGTCATCAGATGCAACCCAGTTAACACTGATTAATCCCAGAGATAAAAGAGGACATCACATTCATGCCATGCACACATCACATCTGTGACTTGAAATGAGAGTCCCACTGAAATCACAATGACTGCTATTCTGGACCCTACAGTACGTATCAAGCGACTCCCCATTCAACATCAAAACTGATTGATTTCGTTTGTTACATAAATAGTGAAGAATGTGAGGTTCCAGTGAGTCTCTTCGTTGACAGGGAGCTTCACAAATTCGCCTACATTCCAAGTCCCAAATCGAATGAAATGTGACGAATATTGTTTTGTGGATCAAAGAGTCTCCTGGCAATAAAAATGATGTTTTCTTGTAATTCGCCTTGTTATACCTGGCGCGACATGAATGTGACACCCAGGGATGTTTGTGTCTACTGTTAATAAACATATCGCACATCAGCAGTGATATTACCTCTTTTCACTTCTGCAATGAAAGGTATTGTACCATCCAACCGCGTTTATAATTTCTTCTACCACCGCTATAAAAAGTAGCACAATTCTCATAGCTTACTTAGTTTCAAAGACATGTTTTGCTTATACTGTGAGGAATATCTTTTCTCACGACAGTTTGCCAACAACACACGAACATTTCCATGATGAATCAACAAAAATCGACCAAAACTCAATTGGCTGGTTTTCAGCTTTGAATAGTTGTCACAACTGTCAGAAGAAGTTTTTTAAATTCTTTGGGGTAGTTCTCATAAGTGCTTTTGATGAAAATCGCAGTTTCCATGAAATATTATTCCAACAATTTATAATAAATAATATGATCTATACCGGGTGGCTACGGAAGTATTGCCTACGGAATATCTCAGTTATTGTATGAAGTAGGTTTGTGAAATTTGGAGCGTCGAGATAATGACATAAGAGCTAGAATTTGAGCATATTGACATGTCGAAGTAAACTTCCGGTCTGACCGGAAGTAACATCAACTTTCTTATTCCTAATGGAAACCCTATTTTTTTTCTTTTCGCTTTATTCAGCATTCAATTCCCTTTTTGATGACATATCACAAGTTGGTATGTAACCAGAAACTAGATCAGAAAAAAAATATTATCGAAATTCACCGAGTAGGCCGTGGAAGCAAAATGAAAGCCAAAAATTGAAAAGTTGGCTATGGAAACCATATCATTAGAAAGGAATGGATATGCTGAATTGTACAGGCAAGAAAAAGTTGCATGTTCCTATTCAAGTCATGGACCTACAGAGTATTGTTTTTTTCCCAATTTTTCCAATATTTTTTTTGGCGGCTTTTTATAACGCCGACTAATGAATATAAAATATCACAGTAGTAGCAACTGTTATCAAGTGACGTATGGTTTCCATAGCCAACTTTTCAATTTCTGGCTTTCATTTTGCTTCCACTAACTACTCGGTGAATTTCAATAATATTTTTTTTCTGATCTAGTTTCTGGTTAGATACCAACTTGTGATATGTCGTTAGAAAGGGAATTGAATGCTGAATAAAGCGGAAAGAAAAAAATTGGGTTTCCATTTAAAATATGAAAGTTGATGTTACTTCCGGTTAGACCGGAAGTTAACTTTGACATGTCACAGTGCTCAAATTCAAGCTCTTATGTCATTATATCGACGCTTCAATTTTCACAAACCTACTTCATATAATAACTGAAATATTCCGTAGGCAATACTTCCGTAGCCACCCGTATACCGAGATGTGACCATTTTGAAAAATACACCGCCAGAGACAGAGATACTAGGAAAAGCTGCAAAAATTGGATTCGTTTCCGGAAATTTCAAGAAAGAAGTATGGATTGGCATATACGAGGAATTTTTGAACAAAAAAAAAATACAGAAATGAAATCTCATTCGGGAAGTGTACTTTTTTTAATACTTTGAGGAACTCGGATGGGCGTCTACTCTTTGGTCACAATATTCAATGTGGCATAGTGCCACATTATAAAATTGATACCAATAAGTAACATTACCTCACAACATGTGGGAAAAGTACTTTTTCCACTTGTTGGACAATATACTATACTTTCATGAATATATGAATTAATTAATTCATTCACCCCTTCTTTGTTCAAAAATGTTTCGCTGATATTGATGAATGCCGAACAATATAGGATAAACGTAGACGAACTACATCAAAACAACTGTTATATTCATTTCAATCGAGATCTATTTTTGTTTGATTAGGCTGAGTAGGGATTTTCATAACCGGAATCGAATATCGCCCACAGCGGCTAGCCGGGCAAGTTCGTTGCTTTTCGTCAGTTCTCGAACCATGCACACACAGCGAAAAGCGGCTGAATAGATTGTTAGATTCTGAAATGTGTAGTGAGTTTTGTACAGCGCAGTAAACGTTTGTAGAAAAAAACATTCAGTGAAGTGTTGGTAAATGGTAGGCCTTGGTTTTTATAGTTCCGAACGTGCTCGTTGTTTTATATAGGTTATATTTTTCTCATTCTTGTGGAATGAAACGAAGAGAATGAGCAAATAGTTGGTTAAAATTCTGAAATGGCAGCAACTACTTATCCTCCATGCCCAGCAATAGTTTTCAGAAATATCACAGAAATCGTTGAACAAAACGAAGATATTGTAAACTTTTTGCTGACCTACCATTTCGATTCTTTTTCAAACAATGATAAACATTTCGTGAAATCACTCTCCAGGCCAACTCCTAGGCTGAAGAGGCTAATTAATACATCTAGTAGAGGATCAAATAGATTGTTTTCGACCGCTTGGTACGAAAGATACTTCTGGTTGACAGGTAGTGAAACACGAAACAAACTATTTTGCTGGCCTTGTCTGTTATATTCTGAAGAAGCTCATAACTCGGTTTGGGGACGACTAGGTTATGATAATATGAAAGAGTTATCCCGAGCATTACAAAAACATGCTAACAGCAAAGACCATTTGTCCTGTGAATTGAGATTCAAAATATTCGGCAAGCAGAACATCCCCAATGGCATCAATTCCAAATATAATGTGTCTATAAAGAAACATAATGAAAAAGTGTCTCACAATAGGGCGATTTTGAAACGATTAGTTGATGTTGTGATATTTTCAGGATCTCAAGAACCAATAACAGACAGTAGAAATTTTATCGATGAGGGCAACAAAGGCCTCTTGAAAATTTTGGAAAAATATGAACCAAAACTAAAAGAAAATTTTTTCAAAGGACTTTTACCTGTCGATTGTTATCTCGAAGATATTGAGGATGAATTGATTGCTTCGGTTTGTCATGTTGTCAGAAGTCACATAGAAGCTGAAATTTTAAAATCTGAATTTTTTTCGTGGCAGTTGGATGGATCAACTAACAAGTCTGGTTCATCCCTATTATCCGTGATTTTTAGATACTGTGTGGACGGTGTTCCTGTTGAGAGATTTTTTGAATTCCTAGAAGTCACAGCTGGTCGCGATGCTAATGAAATGTTTCAATTATTAACTGTTCGTAACCAAAAATTCAATATACCTGGAAAATTGATTGGACATACATACGATGGTGCATCTATGAAACGAGGACAAATGCATGGTCTCCAGATGAAATTCAAAACATATGCCCCTATGGCTTTGCTTACCCATTCTCATGCTCATAATTTGAATTTGATCCTACAGGATGCTTGTATGCAAATCAAGGAATGCAGAATATTTTTTGCTAATCTTAATGGGGTATCTGATTTTTTCGTCAAATCACGAAAGCGAATTGATCTACTTGATTCTTTGTGTCCAGGTATATTACCTTCTGGTTCTGGAAAGAGTTGGCCTCCCAAGTCTGAAGCTGTTTCCACTATATTGAAGCATAGGAAAGGTCTCGTATCTGTTTTTGAGCATATCATAGAAAGTGATGAGTTTTATGCTGATCGTGAAATGGTACAGGAAGCCATCATTTGCAGAAAGCAATTAACTGACGTTAATTTCGTTTTACTTTTGAGAATTTTTGAATTGATATTTTCACAAGCAGATACTGTGAACATTGTTATTCAGAATAGAAAATCTAGTTTTCTCTTCAGCGAATCTAGCATTTTACAGTTGATCTCTTCTTTAAAGTCATACATGAGTTACAAGCACTATTTCAAAAAAACTGCCGAGGAGACTATGAAGGATCTGGACTATACACAAAAAGAACTCAAACCTGGCTATGATCATGTTGTAGAAATGACTGATTGCAGCAGAATATTCAATTCAATAATGAATCTGTGTTTACATCAGATAAAAACTCGCTTTTCTAATGTACACAATCTAGTATTTTTCGAACTCTTGAATAGAGATGATTTCATAGACTACCAATCTACATTTCCGAAGAAACAATTGGAAGTTCTGATCAAGGCATTCCCACACACAGTAGAAAATCGATAGGAAATTTGACACCAAATTAACACCACGCGTGGTCTATTTCGATACACACCATTTTTGTGTATAATCAACACCTTACAAGCGGTGTTCAATTGACATGTGGCGGTGCATATAATGCACACCCGTCATTGTTCAAATTTAAGTCTCAATAGTGTCAAGTTGACTATCAGGAGGTGTAAAAATACATCATCTGCGGTGTATAAAGAACACCTAATGGTGCATTTTTTTCACCAGATGAGATGCGAATCTACCTTAAACGGTGTTAGTTTTCACCCTATACAGAGTATACAAATATTGAAAATGGTAAAATTTTACACCATCTGTAGTGCGCTTAATTCACACCGAATGGAGTGTCGAACCCATCTAGAGTGGTCGATTCAACACCAAAAATTATTGAAAACTTTCACACTAAATGGAGTGTACAACTCTTTTTTAGTGGTCATTTCAACACTGAAAATTGGTTAGATATTATTTTCACACCAAATAGAGTGTGTAACTCATCTTTAATGGTCATTTCGACTTGGTTGACATTTTTACACTGAATGAAGTGCCCAGTTGTTTTTTTTAGAATATCTATTGCCTACTGGTCCTGGAAGATGTCGAGTTTATTTAGAGAATACTGAAATATAAGTACAAATTATGTTGCCCATGCTTACACTACACTGTTTTACCACTAACCAAACCGTTAAAAAATCGGTTTGGTTAGTGGTAAATTAGTGTAGTGTACCTATTATCGTGCCAAAGGTTCCAGTCTTCGATATATTGTCCATGCTTATCTCGATGCTTGTTGAGTATATTTTTCTGTAATTCAAGTTCATATATTATATAAGTCAATATTATGTTGTGGGTTTCATGATTATATTCAGTTCAAAAAAACGAATATGAAATAATATCTCAAAAATCTTTATTCTTCTTGATCAGAAATGAGATGAAAAGGATTTTTCAACTCTCATAAAATTTGGAATTAAAAAATAAACTAAATGCTAACAAATTTGCTATAAATAAAGGAATCTCTGAAACGGTATGAGAGCATATCGCAGTTGAATGACAATGTTACATAATTTAGTATTTTATTTTGGAAGAAATGAAATCCAAAGGTGAAAAATCTAAACATTTCAGAAGTGATAAAGATATTTCGAGGATTCGTATGGCTTTTTGTTCAGTAGGTATAATGAATTCATCTATGAACCCATTTGACCGAAGAATCTCTATATATCTATTTCTGAGATGCCTGTAATGAAAAGCGAACTTGTGTCTATGCATGGTACATAGTGATACCTACTACAACAAACAACAAATAACAGTAAAAAAAAATCACTAATAACTAAAATTCAACATCGAAATGTTTATAACACTAATAAAAAAGGAAATAAAAATGCGAATAGGCACATACCTTACATATTATAAAAACTCAGTCAATAACAAATAAAAATCATGGGAACGTGTTATTTAACCACCACGAATACATATAGAGCTGAACATTGTGAGAAGTAATTCCACAAGTAACAGAAACCTCATACCAAAAGTATAATAACTACAGTTCGAGAAAAATTCACTGCTTCTATTTCTCACTATCAAATGAATGAACATAATTTGATACATATAAGCTGCTTGGATGTTAGATGAATAATTGAAAGTCCTTTCAATGGAAGTATCGCATGCGTGACTCACATTTCGGTTCAAGAAATCATTCATGACGTCATCACGATCACAAAGATGAACCATGTTTCTGTAGCATGTCTGATACTGCTATATTGACTATTAAACGACTCAGCAACCACTTTCGTGGCTCCTTTGAGTAGCAGTAAATTTTCCAAGCCCTATAATAGAAAGTACAAAAATTATGACTGTGGAGAAATAGTCCACTAAACAATTTGGTAGAGATAAAGAAAACCTATACATAAACTGATGAAGTATAACATTACATCCGAACATTAGTAATTACCTGTTTAGATATTGTATCATATATGCTATTCCGAACACAGATTGGGGTACAATGAATCCATCTTTATCAACTGTGATGATTTCGCTCTCTAAACTACTTTCTAAGGTTAAAGTCGTACTGGCACCGGTATACTGGTAATCAATTCTGAGTCTTCCTTATCGCTGTCAGCATGTTCAATTCCTTCTAAAAAATATTTTTTCTACTAGCGTGCGGAAAAAGTTTTCCGCACTCATAACAGTGTGGAGACGAATTTACTTTTCCGCGCTGGTGCGGAAAAGTAAATGTTTATAGTTGTGAAATTCAACTTACCAATGGTACCACTCGTGGAACCATGAGAATCATCGGGTGGTTCATGTTCATCCTGAGTAAGTTCAGCGCATATTCAATTATTTTAAATTGGAAACATTTTTCTGCTTGCTCCAGAAAGTTGGAGTATTCTTCCTCGTCAATAAGACAGCTACTCTCATCTGCTACTCGATATTCGGATACAGCGGATTCTTCTTTCTCCGAGAGGTCTTTGTCAAATTTTTTAAGACCTAGAAATGTAACTCAGTATTGACCTAATGCTGACAGCTCCAAACAAAATAGCTCGGAAAATCAGTAGCGAACAAATCAATTTCCCTTCCATTTTACCCTAATCGTAAAGAATCATGACTGAAGCCCGATAAGCGTGCGCATCCAAGTGAATATTATGTGAATATGTGAACGATGCTATTTAGCACCGTCTGGAGTACAAAACTCCGAACTGTGCTGTTAAAGCACCGTTCAGAGTCCAACACTCCGTACTCATGTATTCATGTCATTCTATACGAAGAATAGGGAAAGACAGACTTACGGATGTAATGCATGTTTGGGTGGAATAGAAAGAGTAGACCGATACTGAAAACCTTCAACAAAAACAAATTTGAGAAAATATTTGGCAATATGGAAGATTTGTTGAAACTTATTTTCACTGATTGAAACGATTTCATAATGATAAGAACAACTATTGAGATGTATAGACCTACCTACTTATGAATAATAGGTAAGTAGGTATCTACCAGTGAACATAGAACTTACCGATTTGGAGAAATTCCTTGTATGTCGTATTTTTATTCAACAACATCCACTTTTGTACATTACGGAATTCAACTTTTATGAACACTGACACCGACTTCACTCTATCAAACTATCCAATAATGATAAAGGCATGTAATAACAACCTGTATAATGGGGGATGCGACGCCGGACGCTGATGGACAATGGCAGCTGGGAGAGGAGACGGGACGGAAAGACTGATGCAAGCATGCAAGGACGTGGACGTGAGCAAGACCGACGCGAGGACCGACGTAAAACTGGCAATAAACGATAAGATGGCGTCAAAAGGTTCCGGTCAGTGTTATTTTGACCAAATGCGGATTCAATTCAAATCCAAACGGTTTACAATATTAATTTGAGTTTGCGTAAGTGTTGGAATGGAAAAAAGGGAGTTCTTCTGAATGACCACTTCAATCGGGTATTAAACTCAACACCATTCAGTGAAAAATGTTTGAATCACGTCAGAGTGTGAAAGTTCACACCGCTCAAATTTTATACTGTGCATATTTTCAATAAGACTAAACTGGAGACCGAGTTGAGTCTTTTATACAATCAAAAAAATTTCTTCGGAGATCATAATAGCCTACTTGATATGTCAAAATTCTTATTCGATAACGACCTCAATAATACTCTGACTGAAGTAACTAAATTGTTTTCACTTATACTCTCGTTAGCACCAATATCGTCATCCGTTGAAGGTTTGTCGACTTTAAAAAAAATTAAGAACTATGTAAGGAATAGTATTTCTGGAAACAGCAATAGAGCATTAATATCAATCGAACAATCTCTGATACAAAAAATGAAGGTCAACCCTCACTTCTATGATGAGATCATAGATAATTTTGCAAAATCCAATGAGAAGATTGATTTGATTTTCAAAGATGCCTAATCTCTTGACTGATTGAAAGATACTCATTTTTAGTATTGTCCTATTTGAAACAAAACCTCCATGAGGCATCAAAAATAGACGATGCCAATACCGGGTGTCACTGACTCATGGTATATCCATCCCCCTTTTGTACTATGTTTTTCTAGCATCATTCTTGAAATTTTGAACATCGAAAATGCCCACTAGAATTAGAGAAAATGCCATACATCCTCACATTCCAAAGAATTCTTTTAATCTTCCCGTTTTCCTGGAAAGTCAAATTTACCCAATAAAATCACTACTCAATAATTGGAAAAGTCGAAGACCAAGGCAGGAGGAAAACTGATGACAATTCCATGATTGTTCAGCAAAATTCAATGAATTGAAAAATTTCAAACTGTCAAAATGAATCTGTCCATCAAGTGAACCTACACCGTTGTCATTTGAAGAAGAATTCATCTCATAAATTTCCAACAGATTCAAAAATCTTCTTTAAAGTCTGTATCCATGTTAAAAGTGTGATTGGAATTGAGGATATGGTTTGTAAAAGAACTTTTTGTATAGTACTCATCTAAATGTGAATATCTTGATTTTTAGATAATTTTGAGATGTTCAAATACTCGAGTTCTCCTACCACTTTGACCGATATACTGGGCGTTAAAATTTCGGTCAGAACAAGACACTATACGCCTGACTTATGTTGTAGTGTTGCAGATGTGCACATTGTGAGGGGCTTCTTCGTGGCTTCCACCATAATTTCCAGATTAAGGTCTGTCCTTCCCCTCTGCTATAGCGAAAATAAAACTTTCTCCCCTTTTACCTCATTAAATTTGTTAATATTATGATGTAACCAAAGTATATTCATTCACACGAAAGCATTCCATTTTATGATCCAGTTTTTGCACTTATCCACATTCATTCTAGAATTTCTAGGGCGAAATTAATGAAGCAATCGTGATTAGGCTGAGGATGGACAATATATGTCCAAAAAATGTACCAATTGGTTTGATCGTTTGATCATATAAAAATATCGCAGAGATGCTTTCCAGTATTATTTAGTAGTTACTACTCTACTCCACTTTGAGAAACCATTGACTTCTACCAAAGATTATT